CCATCTCTCTCTTCCTCGCATCTCAATCTAGACCCCTCATCATGTTTTAATTTCACGGCCAGCTTTCCCCTCGCTCTGAATCCCTTCCGCGCTGCCAGCAGCCGGCGGTACCAGATAGAGAGATGGAAAGCAAGGACGAGAGAGAAAAAGAGAGTGAGAAAAAGATGGAGAACGAACTCTCGTTGGTAACGAAGACGGGATGTACAGAGATATGGGCGCAAGGAAGATGGGATATTTAGCTCCATCGATAGAAGATTCACATCCAGGGGGGCGTCACTCTGATCTCCCTTCCTTACCGACAGAGAAACTCCCTTTATCCAAACGTCGATGACTCGGAAGCGGCGGGGTAACGTGTCTTGAAGAGGGGGACGAATGATCCGAATAACAGTGGCTAGTCCACACACGCCGCGAAAAGTTTACCCCCACTATTTCATCCTTACAATGTGCTCCTATTGCGTTGCTCGTATACATTTTCTTTTGGTCATCTAAAGGGCTCTAGATAATAAAATGGCATAAAAAGACCTCTGACAGTCAAGATGAGACGATATAAAATTTTCGATTAATCTGCAAATTAACGCGTTGACCTTGACGACTTATTTTAACAGCATTCTTCCTATTTTATTACAATATGCACGGTCTTCGTCAATTTTTACATGATTATACGAACACGTGCGCGACTGAAGGCGAGGAAGGAATAGCGAGCTATGGGAAACGTCTGCTATAATCTCCTTTATAAAACGAATTTCTCGCTTTTATTACGCAAGACAGTTTTAAAACATTGAGAAAAGAAAATGAAATTTGAAAGAATATTATTATATGTAGTAATTTTCAACATTTCCGATTTAATGATTTCTATACATACGATTTTTAATCTCTAGATATATAAAAAAAAGTTTAAGCAATATTTATATTTCTATGATATTTTTTAAATATATATTTTCTATAAGATGTCTTTTTCTAGGTAATTTCTAAAAAAATTTTTAGGCTCTCTCTCTCTCTCTCTCTCTCTCTCTATTTTACAATAATGATTCAATTTAAAAAATTATCGAATTTTTGCTTGTTTTATTGAATATTTATGTAATATTTATTAGAAAGTCATATGTTCAAGTCATATATTACATTAATAAATTAAAAATTAATTGGTATTCTTATTTAAACTGTCAACCTTAGAAAACGTATATTTTAATAAATAAATCCTTTTATACCTAAAAACTTCTGAAATAGGATAATATGATAAATTACATTTCCTTTACTATGTTTTGACGAATTGAAAAATGCACACGGAAAGAACAATTTTGATAAAGCATCTAAAAATTTAGTTAAATACAGATCTGAAAATAATTTTTTTGGACTACCAGCATAAGGAGAAATGCTGCAAAAAATGTTGATATTCCAGCAATCAGTTTGTACGTCCTACATAATTATTTTGATTCGACAAAATTATTTTTAGATTTTTAAATACTTTAGTAAAGCCATTCATTCCATGTAACTCCAGCACCTATCACAGAGATTCTTAAGCATAAACGCAGGGCGATTATCTCACGACAACGTGTCGCAAAGGCTTCACGGTTGACGGACTTTGTGAGAATGATGAATAATAAGTGCTTGAGCTAAAAATTAAGTCATTTCAGGTTGTTGCGCAGTAAAGAATTTTTTTGTCATTATTTTTTTATTGTTTTATGATTAAAATAACCATTTGCTATTTGTACTTTTCCGAGCGCCTTATTTTATTCATATGCTGATGAAGTGTAATATTTCATTTAAGTATAACGTAAATTATATCGAATTCAAGGCTTTTACCATTTATCGATTTGAAATATCTAATTAATTTCTTTAAAATTCTCCTTTTTAAATGAACGTATATAATTTTATGGATGTATAACTTTATAAATAATATTTCCAATAAAATGTGTAAAATTTGACATACTGGCTGCAAAAAACAGGTAGTTAACTGAGAGAGCGTTGAATTGCTTTTGCGCGCGGTTGACCATGCTTGACAGAATCCTAATAAGGATCGGTAGCATAAATAAAGTCATTTGCGGTAGGTATCATGCTCATAAGTTTTTGTTGAATCAATTCTTCCGGTGATTAATGAGAAATGAATTTTTCACGGCGATGAATATAATATAAGTTGCGCGCAACTTTTCTCATTCAATTTTTCTAACAAAAATGCAATATCGCGCAACATTTCTACATTATTGCAATCACGTAATGAGACGCAATCTCTTTACAATGTTTTTGCAACTTTTCTAGATTATATGGATCATAGCTTAAAGTGATCGTTAGTGGCAATCGCGTGACAATTCCGTCGATTATAAGCTATAAGTTAAACTATATTCTATCGTCCATTAAAGCTGATGCTCGGAAACAGGTTTCACATAAACTGCATTATTTTCCCGGTGAATTCACGATTACCAGCTAGTGTCCTAATAAGGAGTCCTAATAAGGAGTCGAGGGTATAAATAAAGTCATTTGTGGCAGTTGCCGTCCTGCCCTTCGTCGGAGCCCTTCGACGAATCGGGCCTTTCGTCGCGTATGAGAACGTAGAAATCGCAACCAAGGATCGCGTCTCGAATGGGACTCTGGAGGATCGGTTTGTTTTGCGGATTAGGCTCATGTTTTAGTCGCGGCCCGCGACGAATCACGAAACGCGGACCGGCGCACGTCGCTGCTTTTTCTCCCAGTGAGAGTCGTCAGGCCGTCGACTCTCAATACCACGACGGGTGAACTGCGAAGGGCTACGTCCGAAATTGCTTCCATAAATGTTCAGCGCACATAATCGAATTTGCGAAACAATAACCCCGCTGATTGGAAATTAATCAAGTCACACCGTTTACGAGTTTACGGTGAGCTGTAGAAACGTTCTCGACGTCGACGAATGTGTAGACTGAGATTAGGTTGAGACATCAAAACTTATATGTACAACGTTAAAAATTTATTATAAGAATAAATAATTAGTTTATATTATCTATGGGATTTACATAATGTTTTAATATATAAAAACGTTTTAGTAACTTATATCGATGAATGCCTATCGTATAATAAATGGTAGTTCTCTACGCACAATGGTTATAGATTAATTTGCTTTATAGCATTCGGCTAATTGTATTTTATCATTGAACGCCTTTATTTCTCTTTATTTTCAATTGTTCTCTGTTTTTTTATATTCTTTGTGCTACAATACCTTTCTCTTTTCCAAACTTGCTTTCAATTTATAACAGTTAATTCCAATAAAATTTCAGAGAATCTTTTCAGGATATTCTATATATTACAAAACTTGGAAGTTCACGCAAATAGATAGAAGTTGGAGAAAAAGTTGGTTAAAATAGATAATTCACGCAGTAGATAAAATCTCAATAATGGACCTCGCGATTACAATATAATAATACATAAAACGCGGTTAATATATCTCGTTAAAATATTGTTAATTAGATCAGCTTACGTACTTAAGTTGATTATAATTTCTTGAGTATGACAAACAGGTACGTTTAAGACATGCCGTTATATTATTGACTTTTATTAAAAGTACGTATAAGTATACATGCGCTAAGTGTGTACAAAATTACAATAGCATTACGTAGAAGAGGTTCCGGTGGAGAGAATATTTACAACAGGGTAATACATCTATATTTATACGTATATCTATGCATATATGTATATGTATATGGAAAGGTTCATTTTTTGGATGTAAGGAGGACAAAGTTAGTAAAGAAACTTAAGATATATGAGCATCGTCATCTTCGTTTCTTAAACCGGTAGAATTTAATCCATCTCGTATAATCTTTCGATTAAGCGTGGGCTTACAAGAGGATCTCGATATGTGATACACCTATCCTTCGTTACCTCCATTTATGCTATTTATTGAGCTAACAGTAAATACATCGCGAACTTTAACGCATCTCGTTTGCTCTTTCTCGAGTTTGATATATAGCGACGTTGCCGCGGCTTCGTCTCGAATGTGAACTGGAAGACGTGTGTCTCTCGAATGTAAAATGTTAAAATGCAATTATCTTTTGCAGTTTTTCAAATATATTTGTAAACTAATTGTAAGTGCTAAATTTGTGTCGAAGTTACCGTTAGGAAAGTAGCTGTCTGACATAAATATATTATAAAGACTACAAATGTGTAGTGTAAAAATATTCTATAATATAAGACAATTTACATTCTAGCAAAATTTACATTCAAGCAAATATTAAAACGATATTTATTATCGATCTCGAGCACAAGTTCGATCGCTCCGAAATAGCCTTGCAACGAAGCCGGGCAACATGACATGACTTGTCGGAGAATAGACTAAACAAACAAACAGTAACAACAAAAATAAAAAAAATGTTCTTTTTTCGTGATCAATGTAAGCATCGAGCTATTCCGTCGTGCTATCGGCACGACGAATTGGCGCCATCCATTATTTATGACACTGTTGCACCATGCTTGCATGTGCACGGTAAGCTGTGCGATGATCGAAATATTAATTCTAAATTTGAATCTACATAAACATTTGTAATATTTTTCTAATTCTATGGTCTGTTAAAAGATACTTTTTAATATTCTTAATATTCTCTTGACAATTCCATTTGAAATAATTAATCATTCGAATCATTGTATTAAAATTCATTAATTAATAAAGTAGCCTAATATTTCGATCAGCTCCAGCGACGAGTTCCTCGATCTCGTGAAAATAATAAGGAAGGCAACAAAGAAGCTTCTTCGAAGTCTTTCCTATTTCATTGGTTGTATTTTGGCACGGGGTTGATTGTGAGTCACGCGCGCTTATCTTTCGTCTTGAGGCGAAATTACGCGCAGAATTTTAATTTGTAAAGTATTCGCCCATCAAATATTAAATTTAGAAGAATTCTTCCTATGAGAAAATGTCATCAATTTTTATGAATATCAAGCTCTATAAAATCATTAATAAACATATAACAAATAAATTTACCATAACAGAAATAGAAAAGAAACAATATAACAATCGCGATAAATAAATAAATCAATATCATAAAATGAAATATGTTGCTTCGCCTGTTTTGATAGCAGCAAATTTCAATTATTTCGACATACAATGATTCATAAATCTACGGAGAATACCGTCCAGCGGCTTCATTCGCAATCAATCTTCCCATACGTCGTGACTCGTTCTCGTTTGAGCGTCTATAGCGAATCGAAATTAGATTCCCGATCGCTAGTCTGTGAAAAGTATCAATAGTTAATAAAACCAAAATGGTAATTTCAGTAGGATATTAAATATTAGTGATACATAAAAAAAATTTGGATATAAATCCGTAAGACACACTATCTTACCCTATCCGGACTGTACAATGGCGGATGTTGCGCCGGAAGTCTCAGTGTACTTCCTAAATCACGCTCAGCCATGGTGTGACCCTCACTGGCGCTGTCTCTGGTGTCCCTATTGTCTCTAGTGTCTTTGCTGTTTCTTCGGGCGGCGGCGACTTTTGTCGGCGGTTGGATCGTTGTTTCACCGCACGATCTCGCTAAAGTAGAACCAGCCTCGCCTAGATCCAATCTAAGAAGCTTCGTGGGAGCTTGGATGGTTGTCTCGCCGCACGAACGAGCTAGAGTCGAATCGAGATCAACTTGAAGATCTCCGCTTCTTAGTACCTTCGTCGCTGGTTCCACAGTGGTTTCACCGCATGAACGTGCCAAGGTAGATTCAGCATCCATATTACGGGTCACCGTTGCCGATACCTGTCAATAATTAAAATTCTACTTTTTGTATACCTTCTAAATTTAGGTTGAGATAAAAACAGAACCGTACCTGAAAACCAGCACTCACAAGAGCACCCGTGGGTGTCATCGGGTTTCTTGTGCCTTGCAAATCAGTTTCCTTACAGTCTTTCGCGCTAGATATACTTTGTTTTCTATTGGCGGGAGAGCTCGTACCATTGTCGAGATAATTTATAAGTTTATGTTCCTCGGCAGCAAATGTACTCATAACGGTCTTATTGTAATTTTGTGGTGATTGCGGTGCCGATCGATATTTCGCGCGTGGAATCATAACTGTCAATGAACGATCACGTTGATCGTCGTTGACTGATATCGCTACAGAATAATTAAATTTATTAAATTAAATTTATTAAATTAAATTGATTGAATTTATAGATATAACACGATTTTAACGTGTTATATTTGTGTCAACATTACACAAACGTTATATGTTATACGTTACAAATATTACTATTTACAAATATTATTATTAATATTTGTATTTTATACAAATATTATAATATAAAAATCTTGAATATGAAAGAGGTTGTTTGAAATATAATAAATAAGAAGTGGCAATAGTAAAACGTACCGGTTGCAGACACCATAGTAGCTTTTCTGGGAGGATGACGAGGTTTCGCGCTGATCTTACGAACTGGTCGTTTGTTCGGCGGCAAGGGAGCTATCATTTGCGGCGGCGGTGGCAAAACATGCGGTACGTGATGCGGTATCGCTAAGTCAGTGACGCTACCCTCGCTGCTGGTATCACCACCTGTTCCAGGGATCATGGCTCG